CCGTGCGAGAAAGAGGATATTAAAATGACTCACGAGAGCACCGCTTTCTCCCCCCACCCCTTCCGGCTCACACGCGTCTTGGCGCTGGACGTCGTTTATGGGGTCGTTATGAATGGATACATTCATCGCAGCGTTGTGCGGCGTTGCCCAAAACGAGTGCAAAAGCCGCAAAAGCCCTCGGCGCGCAAGATTTACGGTCCGGAGCAGCGGAGCCAAGCAGAGCAGGTGCCCACATGTCGTTACCCGATGTGCGACCGGGGAAACTACGATGCCCTATAAACGCTCCACCTTTTTTCCCCCTTTTATATAAAATGTAATGAGCTAATTTACTCGGTGTGGTGCGGCTGCTCGCAGTGCTTTACTGTCACAGATTACTCCGTTCTCGTGTGAGAAGTCCTCGCGGCCTCGCGGCAGCACGGCAGTCCGTTTACGGGATAAAACCACATCGCGGCTCGCGATTCGCTCCTACTAAACTTTTAAACATCTGCGCTGCCGCCGCTGCTGCGGCTGCTTTCCGAGAAGCCCATTCTCCGGCCGTCTCTATCGCACCCCTGCGAGGCTGCGACACTGTGCGGCGAACGGGCGGACGGGACGGGACGGGGCGGCCGTCGCGGGGCAAGCGACCTTTCGCTCCGCACACCTGTGTCGTCCTGTGTCGTCCTCACGTTGGCCAACTCGGAAAAAGTGCGGCATTGTTGCGGCCGGAGTGTTCCAGCGACTGGCGCGCTGCCGCGAGCCGGACGGAACCGAAAGAAGACGGGCGTGGCCGAGCGTGGCGATGAAGGCAATGAAGGCCCCAAAGCAGCTCGTTGTCACGCCGTCCCGATGGCCCCGCCGCCGTGGCCCCGCGGCCTGGTGGCCACCTGACGGCCCGACGGCGACGCCGGGACGACGACGAGCATGACGAGCTCGGCACCACCGCCGCCTGGAATGTGTGCGTTGTGCGTTCTGCAAGGCGTGTATCGCAAGGCGGTGCGCGGCGCGCTAGGCCGCGCCGTGGCTGGCGGACGCGACCTTTTCGCATTGACTTTTCGTGTAATTGCTCGATTCCCTGGCCTGCCGCCGCTTTGGAGAGATCTCACAGCCGTCACACACACGCAGCATTTTATACGCACGGCCTTCCTTGCGTCAGCTAGACGCAATTAGTGGCGCGAATGTGGTGTGCGTCCTGCGTATACTGCGTACTGCGTGCGACGCAAAGCTCCATCGGTCGCTATGAGAAATTCCCCGGGACGAATGCCAGTGTGCCACACCCCGTGTGCCGGATTACCGTTTTCGATCGCAGACGGGCGTTTGCGGTCCGTGGTCCGTGGCGTTCAGCAGGCGGAGCGCGCCGTCCGGGCCTGGCGCAGCGCCGCCGCCTTGGCCTCCGCGCCACCCCTCGGCCGTGCACATCACCGGCCTCCCCGACGGCCCTTCGACGGGCTGGGCCGGCCACGCCTGGCGCAGCGCCGCCGCCTTGGCCTCCGCGCCACCCCTCGGCCGTGCACATCACCGCCTCCCCGACGGCCCTTCGACGGGCTGGGCCGTCCGGGCCTGGCGCAGCGCCGCGCCTTGGCCTCCGCGCCACCCCTCGGCCGTGCACATCACCGGCCTCCCCGACGGCCCTTCGACGGGCTGGGCCGGCCACGCCTGGCGCAGCGCCGCCGCCTTGGCCTCCGCGCCACCCCTCGGCCGTGCACATCACCGGCCTCCCCGACGGCCCTTCGACGGGCTGGGCCGTCCGGGCCTGGCGCAGCGCCGCCGCCTTGGCCTCCGCGCCACCCCTCGGCCGTGCACATCACCGGCCTCCCCGACGGCCCTTCGACGGGCTGGGCCGTCCGGGCCTGGCGCAGCGCCGCCGCCTTGGCCTCCGCGCCACCCCTCGGCCGTGCACATCACCGGCCTCCCGACGGCCCTTCGACGGGCTGGGCCGGCCACGCCTGGCGCAGCGCCGCCGCCTTGGCCTCCGCGCCACCCCTCGGCCGTGCACATCACCGGCCTCCCCGACGGCCCTTCGACGGGCTGGGCCGGCCACGCCTGGCGCAGCGCCGCCGCCTTGGCCTCCGCGCCACCCCTCGGCCGTGCACATCACCGGCCTCCCCGACGGCCCTTCGACGGGCTGGGCCGGCCACGCCTGGCGCAGCGCCGCCGCCTTGGCCTCCGCGCCACCCCTCGGCCGTGCACATCACCGGCCTCCCCGACGGCCCTTCGACGGGCTGGGCCGGCCACGCCTGGCGCAGCGCCGCCGCCTTGGCCTCCGCGCCACCCCTCGGCCGTGCACATCACCGGCCTCCCCGACGGCCCTTCGACGGGCTGGGCCGTCCGGGCCTGGCGCAGCGCCGCCGCCTTGGCCTCCGCGCCACCCCTCGGCCGTGCACATCACCGGCCTCCCCGACGGCCCTTCGACGGGCTGGGCCGTCCGGGCCTGGCGCAGCGCCGCCGCCTTGGCCTCCGCGCCACCCCTCGGCCGTGCACATCACCGGCCTCCCCGACGGCCCTTCGACGGGCTGGGCCGTCCGGGCCTGGCGCAGCGCCGCCGCCTTGGCCTCCGCGCCACCCCTCGGCCGTGCACATCACCGGCCTCCCCGACGGCCCTTCGACGGGCTGGGCCGTCCGGGCCTGGCGCAGCGCCGCCGCCTTGGCCTCCGCGCCACCCCTCGGCCGTGCACATCACCGGCCTCCCCGACGGCCCTTCGAGGGGCTGGGCCGTCCGGCCTGGCGCAGCGCCGCCGCCTTGGCCTCCGCGCCACCCCTCGGCCGTGCACATCACCGGCCTCCCCGACGGCCCTTCGACGGGCTGGGCCGCCCGCCTGGCGCAGCGCCGCCGCCTTGGGCCTCCGCGCCACCCCTCGGCCGTGCACATCACCGGCCTCCCCGACGGCCCTTCGAGGGGCTGGGCCGTCCGGGCCTGGCGCAGCGCCGCCGCCTTGGCCTCCGCGCCACCCCTCGGCCGTGCACATCACCGGCCTCCCCGACGGCCCTTCGACGGCTGGGCCGGCCCGCCTGCGCAGCGCCGCCGCCTTGGCCTCCGCGCCACCCCTCGCCGTGCACATCACCGGCCTCCCCGAGGGCCCTTCGACGGGCTGGGCCGTCCGGGCCTGGCGCAGCGCCGCCGCCTTGGCCTCCGCGCCACCCCTCGGCCGTGCACATCACCGGCCTCCCCGACGGCCCTTCGACGGGCTGGGCCGTCCGGCCTGGCGCAGCGCCGCCGCCTTGGCCTCCGCGCCACCCCTCGGCCGTGCACATCACCGGCCTCCCCGACGGCCCTTCGAGGGGCGGGGCCCGGGCCACGCCTGGCGCAGCGCCGCCGCCTTGGCCTCCGCGCCACCCCTCGGCCGTGCACATCACCGGCCTCCCCGACGGCCCTTCGACGGGCTGGGCCGGCCCGGGCCTGGCGCAGCGCCGCCGCCTTGGCCTCCGCGCCACCCCTCGGCCGTGCACATCACCGGCCTCCCCGACGGCCCTTCGACGGGCTGGGCCGTCCGGCCTGGCGCAGCGCCGCCGCCTTGGCCCCCGCCCCCACCCCTCGGCCGTGCACATCACCGGCCTCCCCGACGGCCCTTCGACGGGCTGGGCCGGCCACGCCTCGCGCGCCGCCGCCTTGGCCTCCGCGCCACCCCTCGGCCGTGCACATCACCGGCCTCCCCGACGGCCCTTCGACGGGCGGGGCCCGGGCCACGCCTGGCGCAGCGCCGCCGCCTTGGCCTCCGCGCCACCCCTCGGCCGTGCACATCCCCGGGCCTCCCCGACGGCCCTTCGACGGGCTGGGCCGGCCAGCCTGGCGCAGCGCCGCCGCCTTGGCCTCCGCGCCACCCCTCGGCCGTGCACATCACCGGCCTCCCCGACGGCCCTTCGACGGGCGGGGCCCGGGCCGGCCTGGCGCAGCGCCGCCGCCTTGGCCTCCGCGCCACCCCTCGGCCGTGCACATCACCGGCCTCCCCGACGGCCCTTCGACGGGCTGGGCCGGCCACGCCTGGCGCAGCGCCGCCGCCTTGGCCTCCGCGCCACCCCTCGGCCGTGCACATCACCGGCCTCCCCGACGGCCCTTCGACGGGCTGGGCCGTCCGGGCCTGGCGCAGCGCCGCCGCCTTGGCCTCCGCGCCACCCCTCGGCCGTGCACATCACCGGCCTCCCCGACGGCCCTTCGACGGGCTGGGCCGTCCGGGCCTGGCGCAGCGCCGCCGCCTTGGCCTCCGCGCCACCCCTCGGCCGTGCACATCACCGGCCTCCCCGACGGCCCTTCGACGGGCTGGGCCGTCCGGGCCTGGCGCAGCGCCGCCGCCTTGGCCTCCGCGCCACCCCTCGGCCGTGCACATCACCGGCCTCCCGACGGCCCTTCGACGGGCTGGGCCGTCCGGGCCTGGCGCAGCGCCGCCGCCTTGGCCTCCGCGCCACCCCTCGGCCGTGCACATCACCGGCCTCCCCGACGGCCCTTCGACGGGCTGGGCCGGCCACGCCTGGCGCAGCGCCGCCGCCTTGGCCTCCGCGCCACCCCTCGGCCGTGCACATCACCGGCCTCCCCGACGGCCCTTCGACGGGCTGGGCCGGCCACGCCTGGCGCAGCGCCGCCGCCTTGGCCTCCGCGCCACCCCTCGGCCGTGCACATCACCGCCTCCCCGACGGCCCTTCGACGGGATGGGCCGTCCGGGCCGGGCGCAGCGCCGCCGCCTTGGCCTCCGCGCCACCCCTCGGCCGTGCACATCACCGGCCTCCCCGACGGCCCTTCGACGGGCTGGGCCGTCCGGGCCTGGCGCAGCGCCGCGCCTTGGCCTCCGCGCCACCCCTCGGCCGTGCACATCACCGGCCTCCCCGACGGCCCTTCGACGGGCTGGGCCGTCCACGCCTGGCGCAGCGCCGCCGCCTTGGCCTCCGCGCCACCCCTCGGCCGTGCACATCACCGGCCTCCCCGACGGCCCTTCGACGGGCTGGGCCGGCCACGCCTGGCGGGGCGCCCAGGCTATCGGACACCTGCGTGATTAGCAGGGCTGCCACCTTAGGCAGGCGAAACGGTTCCCACGATGCATCATAGTGTCGAGTCGAAAGGGTCGCATAGCACGTCCTGGCTGCAGCCCATGGAGCCAGGTGGGTGGGTGACGTGGACACGCGGAGCGGGCAGCCTACCCTAGCGCGCCTGGCGGGTAGGCAACGTAGACACGCGTGTGGAGCGGGCAGCCTACCCTAGCGCGCCTGGCGGGTAGGCAACGTAGACACGCGTGTGGAGCGGGCAGCCTACCCTAGCGCGCCTGGCGGGTAGGCAACGTAGACACGCGTGTGGAGCGGGCAGCCTACCCTAGCGCGCCTGGCGGGTAGGCAACGTAGACACGCGTGTGGAGCGGGCAGCCTACCCTAGCGCGCCTGGCGGGTAGGCAACGTAGACACGCGTGTGGAGCGGGCAGCCTACCCTAGCGCGCCTGGCGGGTAGGCAACGTAGACACGCGTGTGGAGCGGGCAGCCTACCCTAGCGCGCCTGGCGGGTAGGCAACGTAGACACGCGTGTGGAGCGGGCAGCCTACCCTGCTGTTGTGCAGGCGCTTCGAGCTATTTGACGCTGCTCTCTTTCCCCCTCTCTCTCCCTCTCTCTCCTGGTTTCGCTCCCGTTGCTGCAGCACGGCAACGCACGGCAACGCACGGCAACGGACGCCTGGGATGAATGAATACCTCGGCATTCCGAACTCGCAACGCCTTCCCTAAAACATCATTGCCTTGTCTGTGCTGCCGCGGCACGGCGTGGCGCGGCGCGGCGCCGCATGTAGCGATTTCTCCTCGCCCGGTTCCGCAATGCCGTGCCGTGGCGTGTGGCGTGCCGTGCCGTTGCGTGCCGTGCCGTGCCGTGCCGTGCCGTGGCGTGTTGGTTGAACCCGCTAATAAGCACGCAGGGGTTCCGTGTAAAAAAAAAAAAAATAGTTTTGGTGGGAGCAGGGGTGGTTATACATGTCAACGGACTATAGCAACTTCTGAAAACGGAAATGAATTTGAAAGGTCGCGATTAGGTTCTTCATATTCCGCCAGGAAGAACAACAACAATCGAGGAGCACTGCCAGAAACCGCCTCCAAGTTGCCATGCGACATTGTGGCCCGGTCCTCACTGAAAAACCAAACGTGGTCTAGACCGCACCAACTGGTGTGGTCAAATGGATGCCATTTTGACCACATCAGTTGGTGTGGTCTAGACCACGTTTGGGGCGTTTCTTGTGGTCTAGACCACACCAATCGTGGCCAAACGTGGTCTAGACCGCACCAAACGTGGCCAAACGTGGTCTAGACAGCACCAAACGTGGCCAAACGTGGTCTACACCACACCAACTGATGTGGTCGAAATGGCACCCATCTGACCTCACCAGTGGTGCGGTCTAGACCACGTTTGGTTTTTCAGAGCTCTTCTCGGCCCTCTTGTTTCGCGGGCTGCTATAGGATAGTAACCGGGGCTGGCGAGGAGAAACCCCATTTGCTTTTCAGTGTAGCAAACCGAAGAGCATGCGGCCGGTGCGTGCGGGGCCGTAGTAAGGCAGTCAGCACAGCGCAGCCAGACAGTATGCACTGGCCGCTCGCGCCGCTCTGCTCTCACCCCGCGAGCGGCGCGGCTAGGCACGTCCGCGACTAGAGCCCACCCACGACGTGCAGCCCGCGCCCGGATGCGTCTTCTGGCTTTGTGGGACGACGTGGATGCTTGCAGGCCCATTTTTAACGGTGGCGTCGTCAGCCTGGCTCAGAGAGAGAGAGACACGGCCCTGTTCCGAATGGGTCTCGGCCTGACGGCATGGCGGCCTGACGGGTGCCCGGTAGCGGTCGCAAAGTCGCAGACCGCCAGTAATAAAGGCCACCAAATCAATTCGCGAACGTGCCCGCCAATGCGGCCAACGCGGTTGGCGGCGATACCCCGCGCGGCGAGGCGGGGTGGCGGCGGGGCGGGGGTATCGCAGCAGGGCGAGGGGCCAGGGCAGGGCAGGGCACGGCCAGGGCACGGCCAGGGCAGGGCAGGGCACGGCCAGGGCATGGCAGGGCAGGGCAGGGCACGGCAGGGCAGGGCACGGCCGCTACCGAGAGCCGGTGACCGCTTCTAGGACGGAGGCGAGGCGAGAATGGCCGGGAGTCGCACAGTGTGTGTGCGGCAGGGCCCCGCTCGCCGGTTCCATTGAGGACCGTGTTTTATGCCATCCGCAACGCGCAGCGCAACACGCGCATTGACCAGCACACTTATCCCGCCTGCATCTTGCTGGAAACGCGTCCGAGCCGAGCAGCGCAGCGCGGTCCAGACGGCCGAGCCGAGCCGAGCCGGTGCGGTGCCGGTGTCGGCGTGTAAGTGTACCCCCCCGACCCAGAGTACCCCCGGGTGCGCAACGCCTAGGGCCAAAGTACCCTGGGTAGGCCGCACCAAAGTGAAAAAAATTTTCTGGAATTGCCCATTTTCTGAAGAGCATGATAGAAACGGCCCTGTACAAAATTTGAACGTTCTGCGATGTCGGCAACCCGGAGCAACGGGGGCTCAAAGGGGGA